CATTAGAGAAGAACCCATCCAGAGGACCTGTACAGTTTTTTTCTTTTTGATTTTTTACCTGGATTACTGAGATGCATCAGGACAAGTTTATTAAATGTTTTTTATAGTCTGAGCTGCAGTTTTTTAAATTCATAATTATACACATTAATAAACTTTTATATTAAACTTGTATTAAATTTGAATTTCTGTCTCTTTAAAGGTGGGCAGAGTCAGACCACTGACCAGTGAGGACCACAAGAACCTTTAGAACTACAAGAACCTTCAGACCCTCTAGAACCCTTCAGAACCTTCAGACCAAAGAACCCTCTCTCTCACTGTCAGTGGAACTTCCTGTGGGGCGGAGCCTGGAAGTACTCCTCTGGACTGACGGTTTTCACGCCTCCAAAATAATCCAACACCCACACCTGMAACACAGAAGAAGAACTTGGACTTCCTGTTGCTCAGCAGGTGTCAGGTGCTGACAAGAACCACAGGTAGAACCGGAGGTTCTGGTACCTGTGTGATGTTGAACTTGGCGAAGAACCAGTCGTGGTCCCTCGGCCAGTCCATCATCTCCGGGTGGCGAGTGAACAGAGCTTTCTTGGCGAACTCCGCCTCCGTGCCGTTCACCTGGAGGTGGGGAGAGGGGGAGGAGTCAGGTGAGGGAGGRGAACACCTGGATCTGCAGGTGTGTACAGGTGTGTGTACCTCGAGCACGGATCCAGACAGGATGATGTGAGCACACAGAGGACTCTGAGGGTCGAAGCCCTGCTGCCGGCAGTAATCTGTCTGAGCCAGAGACATGGACAGGGATGCCTGAGGGTTCACCTGCAGGGGGCGGGGCAAGGACAGGTGGACACATCGTGATTTAGAATGAATTAATCTGATGAAAGTTAAAATAATGAGCTCAGAGTCTGAGCTGACGACGACAGATTTACATGAACATCCAGAGATTATTTCCTGAAAGTTTGCTGAGATTTTGTTCTTCAGATCTTAACAAAACGACAGAAACATCATCGCCTGTTAATCCTCTGACAGGTGAAGCACCTGAAAACTGACTCCGAACGATCCAACCCAATAGTCAGGACTGACAACACAAAATAAATATGATCAAATTTAAATATAAACAAAAAATAATACAGATTTTCCTAAAATTTAAAGTTAAAACAAATGCATTAAAATTAAAACAAACACTAAAAATYATATAAAAATAAAATAATTTTGTTTCACATTAACTTTAATTGTAACATTTTTGTAAATAAATATTTATACTGCAGTTCTGTTATCTTTAATATTGAAAACTGCTGAGTCACTGTCTATGATCCTCCAGTCTGTGTCCACACCTAAAAATGTGTTTCACTATCCATGCCTCCTAAAATCTGCTGAGTCACTGTCCGYGTCCTCTTAAAACTGCTGAGTCACACTGTCACGTGAAGTGGTTCCGTTTATTTTGTGACGCAGTAAACGTAATGCACMTGTAGAGTAAATTTTTAGACTTTTAAAGAACTTAAAGGTTTTGCTAAATGTATTTCTGAGCCGGTCCGGGTACCTGCAGGTCCTGGACCGAGATCTCCATGCGGGTCAGGTACATGTAGGGAATCCCGGTGCTGGTTCCGGGCGGCCCGTCGCTGACCGAAAATACGTTGGAGAAGGGCTGGCCCACCACCGGGCTGTGGGTCGACACGGTGGCCATGGAGGCCCAGTCGCAACGGTGGGCGATGAAGCGCGCGACCCGGGCAACCTGCTCGTGAGGCGGGATCCTGAACCGGCAGGTGGACGAGGCCGGTCCGAGCAGGAGGAGRAGCAGCAGCAGAGAGGTACTCATGGTCGTAGTGGCCTTGGTCTGCCCGGCGTGTACAAATATCGGTCTGGGAAACGTAAACAAGTCAGAGCGGATGTAAACAAGTGAAGTTCCGGTTCGGAGTTTCAAGATAAAAGCACTGATTGTCCTAATAAAACGGATTTCGCCCACTTTGTTGAAATTGTTCAAATGTCCCTGGTGGTGGGGTTATGCTTTCACTGGAGGGTTACTGTTTAAGACAAATAAGCCTGTACAGTATGGAGAGCCGTTTTAGCTAAAACGGCTCTCCATACTGTACAGAAGGTAAATAAGCCGTTTGAACTAAGTTTAAAATAGGAAAACTACACCTATAATTTCAAAATAAAACACTGCTCAAGAAACTGATTCCTTAATAAAAGCACATTTTTGCTAAAGTTGTAAAAAAATATACTCACTGACTGATGTTTACCAAAAATACATTTTAAAAATCTTACAAAATTTTTAATGTAGGATTTAAAAATAAAATGTATATATTCATAATAAAAGAAGTTGACTTTGTAAAATGGTAAAACTTGTCAAATCCAAAACATAAAAGCTAGTCAATCTTACACGATTTAAAATTAAATCTATTAAAAAAGCAAATCCTTACTAGAGTTTCAGAATAAAAGGACAGAAACAACAGTCTTCAGAGTAGTTTTAAAAGGTCTGCTTCCACATAAAGTGCTTGTTTATAATATAAAATCAGCTGYAAGGTGAAATCATACATAAACAGACTGTTATTTTACAAAAAAATTGGCACAAATTTAGTCCTTTTAAACTGAAGTTTGAAAATAACAGTAGTGAGCAGCAACAAAAGTAAAGTTGAAACTAAAAATGTCACAAACACAAACGTTTCTATTTCAAAGAATTTTATTACAAAACAGTAAAAAATATTCAGACAAATATTTACTGACAATGATATGACCGTGACAACTCAGGTGGTTTCCATTGTTACGGCACCTTCAGCGTCGCAGACGTCACAGAGGTTCTCCTGGACGTGAAGCCATCCCTGGCAATCGTCGCTTTGGCAGAGACAGGGCACTTCCTGTTTCTGCTCTGAGGAAGTTGGGACGGGGATTTGGGCGCAGTAGTTCCAGGTCAGCTCAGCACCGGCCTTCACCACCCTGATGGAAATAAACACGTAAATAAAACAACCAGCGAAAACCGGAGACACCCGAACGCACCGCRGGGTTCTCACCTGTCAGTGAAGAAKGCGATGACGGGGAAGGCCGGGTCGTGAGAGTCCGTGAAGACGTTCTGGATGAAAAGGTTCGGCTGGCAGCTGTGCTGTGAGCGGAGACAAAAATCATAAGCGTCATCARTAAAATCTAAKAAAGAAAGAATAAATCAGCAGCTGACGTCTGATCACACAGAGGTTGTCTTTAGATCCACCTTCGGTTCTGGTCCACTCACGTTAATGAAGCGGCTCACGTTCCCCTCCTTGCTGGCGTCCACCAACCACACTTCTTCAACATCGACCCTTCGTTTCAAACTCCTCTGCACGCCCGTCTTTGAGTCACTCACTTCCTGTCCCTCTGTTGTCCTGGCAACTTTCACCTTTGACAGGTCACCTGATGAGACGGCGTCCAATCGTTTCAGTTTGAGAAGAGTCAAAACGATAAAGGTTCAGTCAGATGTTTAAACTGGGTTTTAAAAGGTAACATCTGTAACCTGCTGATGGAGACGTCAAGTCTGGACCTCCAAACAGAACCGTCTGAACCTGATGGAAACARCAAAAGATTTTATGTATTAATATGTAACAACAAGCTTGGCAAATGCTAAAAGTAGGGAAGGCTAGCTAAATGCTAAGAGCAAAAGTCTAGCAGCGTGCAAACCGAACATGGAAAAACCCTAGGTCCAAACAGGGGATCGAACCCAGGACCCTCTTGCTGTGTGGCATCAGTGCTAACCACAGAGCCGTTGTGCTGCCAWGTATTAAAAGAATTAGCATTACCAGTAGTAATACAATTATTAGCTAAATTAGCATTGGCAGTACTGGTTAAAGCATTAACAGAATTTGCAGTAGTAGCCTTAGCAGCAAGGGTGTAGGAATGAGTTTATTGGGAAGGATACAAGGATACACACACACACACACACACACACACACACACACACACA